ATTATCAAGATAAACTTTTTATATTGGAACTAGCTGTTGCTCGCGACTTATTCCGCGTGAAATTAAAAAAATAGTAAAAACACAGCCTATGTTACTCAGTAATATAGCTTTTTAATGGTGCAAGAATTTTTGAAATCTGTCCAGTCGTTTTCGAGTTATTTCAATACATACAAAAATAAAAATTTTACCACTTTATACTCGTATTATTGTTATAGATGAAAAAAAATCAAACTAATCATACTCATATTATAAATGTGAAAGTTTAGATGGATTGATATTTGTTAGAGTTTGTAGCCTAAACTGCTAAACGGATCTTAATGAAATTTGGAATAGATGTAAGGATATTCTGGAAGAATACATAGGCAACTTGATTTTTTTAATACCACGCGAACGGGGTCGCGGGCGAAAGCTAGTTATGTTAACTGCATATTTTTATGACAACAAAATCTATTAGCCCTCTGCGTATTATTTAGTTAGACATTTTCTGTTACTTCTTTTTCATATGATGTAACATGCAATATTATGTACTCGTATCTAAATAATAAACATAGTAAATACAAAACAATGTTGAATATTAATGAAACGAGACTTGGCACGTGACTATATTAGGCCGGATATACACTGACGTGTCACTGGCTCGTGCCAGCTTTAAGCATTTGCGTGAACACTAGATTGTAGTCATCACCTGGCATATAAGTTAGGTAGTACAATATTTGTTCTTGTATGTGCAAGTAGGGGGGGGGGCGTGGAGGGGTACATAAATTGACGTTTACTCTCATATATCATATGTTCGTTAATTTTACTGGATTCTGTTAAAGCATTGTGCCAGAAGCGGATAAGCCAGTTATCTACTACCCATTTTTACTGGCATGAGTATTTCCGCCTTTATTTAAATATCATTCAGAATAATTATATAACTACGTTCTTGTTTTTGTACTGATGTTACGCCCCGTTTCTTTTGTATTCGATAATCGAATATTTTTTTTTATGTTTTTGTCATAGTGAGACATTACTCGGGCCGATAGTGGCGCAGCTATCGTAGTTAGTTCATTGAGAAATTGAAAACACTAAATAGGTATAGAAGTCATATAAAAATAACAAGTCAGCTGTAGATCAACAAAGTTTCTACTAATTCATTATACTCACCGGGTCAAATAATTTCTTCGGAGTATATTTGATGATATTCAACTCTGATACTTTTGTTTACATGTAATTTAAAAACAAACTTTTGTGTCAGAACATGTTGTAAAGAATATTTTACTGGGGATTTCTATTTTCTACATTAGCTTTAAATGTTGATTTCCAAATCAATTGTCCTATTTACCTTTGTTGTTTGGGATCGAATCAAAATGAATTCCTGACAGAAGCGAGTCATTTGATTTGGGAAAGTTCTAGAAGAAAGGAATTAGACAAGTCATTTGTCGCGTGCATCAATTTAAAACGAAATAATAAAATTAATTAAAACTGTAAAGATCTTCAGTAACTATTAAAGTGATTTTCCGGAAAAGTATAAAAACTCAGATAAATGCGTGAAAACTAAAAACTGTTAAGATAAACGTTGCGATATCTATAGCCTCCCGTTAGCAGAGCTTTTTCATTTTGTTCTGGAATAGATCGCTTGGTATTTAAGAAGCTTTCTACATTTATTACAGCTAACTCAAGTCTAGATTCAAATTTAACTATGTCATTGAACTACGTGAAAAGATATTAAATGACTGCTTAAAATGTAACGTGATTTAAGAATATTCTTAAACTAGCTGTTCCCGTGCGACTCCATCCGCGAGAAATTATGATTTTTTATTTTATTGTTTACATTTGTCAAACTACAAATGTCAAAATGACATAACATGATGACAACCTTGTTACCTGGTTGTTGGCAGCAACTTATGGTCTCTTTGCCACATTAGGATTTTATGCAAAATATTTACACCCTAAATTTAATGGCGTGAAAATATATAGCCTAAAGCGTGACGTAAGTTTAGGGCTATTTATTAAAAACAAATTATTCAAAAATATGCTGTAATTGCTGACACCTTAGGCAACATATAGAAGTGTGTGTTTACACTATATTATATATATTTTTTTATAACATAAGGTGGCAAACGAGCAAGCGGCCACCTGAATCCGCCAAAATGGCGAAGCGACCGCTGCCCATAGACATCCGCAATTGCAGATGCGTTGCCTACCCTTATCCGACAGAGGAGGAGACACACATAAAGAGGATAATTCCGCTTCCTATGCTTCTACTCCACCGTCAAATCCACTTCCCATTCACATCCTCTCCTTATAAGAAATGGGTGGTGAAGAGAAAGGGACTTTAATTAGGCGTCCGGCACCAATAATAGTAAGTAAGTAAGTATAGACATAAATTATTACATCAGATGACGACAATGTGTTTAAATTTAATACTACTGAATTGTTGTAAATGAATAATTTACTAAGTTTTTTCTTTGTCAAGAGTAAAATAAAAATTGTCAAAACGTGTCACAATGTGTGAGACATTGAAAATAAAAAACACAACATGAGAAATGAAACTAAGAAAATGTAAAAAGACTAATAAACTAAACTTTTTATTTCGAATTGAAATTATGTTGCTTAAATAAGTGAAAAAGATACAACTTAATATTCAACTTAACAGCGAAATCTAGACCATCGTAATTAACTTTGATTGCTCAAGTTAATGGCGTTTTTAGTTTAAAACAAGTTTTAATGTAAAGCAGAAATATTTGTGTGCTATAAAAATGGTAACACTTATTTGAAAAATACTAAAAATTTCAAACTCCGTGTTTCGAGACGAAGTACTCGTAGGCATATCAACGTCCCTTTCGTTCTGTATACAATAATTGAGACAACAATATATCTGCAATACACGTGTGGAATTAGAAGGCTATTTCGGTACATTGAGATGGAAATGTAGCTCACATGCATACAAATATCCATCCGTACATACATGCCGGTGAAATTTATTATCTGACAGTCAGAAAACATACATTACCTCTAATTGAGTTAAAAATTGTTTTATAGCCATTTTATTACTACAAGAGTTGCTCCTGTGTGGCTTCATCCGCATGAAATTATAAAAAAAAACTTTATAATTTCATTTGTCAAAATTTTAATTGCAAAAATTAAAATTATAATGCATAAATAACAAAGCCTTTGATATTGGATGACAATTACCGTAACCATGGCAACATTGCTTCCTTGATGTCAGCTTGTAGTTTACGCCCCCTTTCCCACAAGAAAGTTTTTTTTTTTTCATTTTATTTACCCCTAAGTTAAATGGCGTTAAAATATATAGGCTAAAGCGTGTAAGTGTAGGGCTTCTTATCAAACAAAGAACAAAAAATATGCTGTGATTGCTGACATCCTACGCCAAGAAGTGTGTGTTTACGCTTTATTATATTAGTATATAGTACAGATGAGAGGGACAAACTGCCTTAAACGGGCATTACTCTGCGATCATACTTGAATGCTAAGCGACAAGTATTAAGACTATTACGTCACGCTACATCACTGGCACGTGCAGTACAAAATGATGACAATCAATGCACGTGTTGCTTAACCTTTAGTTTTATTTATAAATACGGAAAAGCACATTATATGTGAGTAAAAAACGACTTTTTTTTAAAGTAAACTTTCAAAAATGTCACGAAGGATGTGATTTTCACAGTCAAGTAACATTTGTTGAAAATTCTATTCCATATCGCAGTTCTCGTAATTTTTTAAAGAAAATAATCAGGTTATACGTGTTTTTGGATTGCGTTATGATTATATACGTCAGTAGTTTTATTTGAGCAACTGACGTCTTCTAACTGGACTTATTTTATTGTGACGTCATCAAATATCTGACGTAAATTGCTACCTAGTCCCTGTCAATATGGACTCAATCTTTATAGCTATTTTTTAAAACCGACATGCGAAGAGATAACGTCCAAAACAGTGTCATTTCAAGTCTCATTCCACCATCTTCCATTCTCAATAGGGCTCATCCAGCGGTAATTCTAACTTCTTTTACGTTGGATTCACTAACCAGCCTCTCCGTTTCGAGGTTTTGCCTTGCTTTCTAGCTACCATCTATTTATCCGTCACCCAAAAATGTCTTCTATGCTATGTTATAAAGAGTGTGTTAGAAAAAGTTATGTCCTAATGTTATAAAGAGGTAATATTTGTATTTTTGTATGCCTGGAAATAACTCAAAAACTACTTCGCTTCTACTTTGCTGCTTCTATTTTAAAAAAATATTTCACCATTTGTAAGGTAATTTATCTGTGAGTAAGATATTTATCTTATTTGTAGTCTATATTGCATTTTATTACATTTTATTATCACGCGGGCAAAGTCGCGAGCAAGAGTTAGTTCTCTCTACAGGTTATTGCCCTCTCCAGATATTTTCTTTTTTTTGGAGATGTAAAGTAGCAATAGGAACACAATGTCAACAACGCCCCTGGGTATCCGCAATACTATAGGAACTGCTGACGCGTTGCCGGCTTGGTGTTCCGCTCAGAAACCAGGACACTGGCATAGCTGGGCAAGATATACTTTTAAAATGATTTTAATTCGTTTTCGAGATTATAATGACAAAACTTTAGAATATCAAACGCTAATTTAATTATAATCTGCTATGGTTTGTATGAAGAATGATCGTAAACCAAATAGTGGTGAATATCGTTTCGACTTACTATAGTTTAAAAATTATTTCTATTGTGTATATTACTTTAAAAGCCTAAAATAAGTAGCAAAAACTTGGAAGTACAAGAACATTGTCATTTACAAATATGTATGTAATTTCTAATAATAATAATATAAGGAAAAATGTTAGAACTTGTTTCTAGTTGAAAATATATAAATGAGATATCAAAGATTTTGCACAGACTCTTGTACGTTTATCACTTGGTGTGTAGAAGTCGAGCAGCACGCTAACTTACAAGTTATTTGTAACTTTCTTGTACTTCAATTTTCAATATACTGCTTGGAGTATTTCGCTGACAACGACGAAGAAAATGGCTGTATGTACATATTTATTTGTTTTCTCATTAATGATCGTGCAAATATTATTTCTTGCGTGAAAGGTACAATTTTGTACAATTTCAATCGCTTTAATTTATTTTTATATTAACAAAATGTTTTTTGTTGTTGATTTTTTAAAATCATTTCCAAAAAAATTGACCTGACATTTAATTACGCCATCTTGTGGAGTAATAGCGACAATTGTATTGTAATCAATGAACGACCGCGTGATATCCAAAAATGCGTATAGATGGCGCTGTTGTAAAAAGTTTTATTAGTCTAAAATTATTTTTTAAAACTGTTACATTAGAGTCTATATTTTCAGGTGTATATATATTTACTATCAGCTTTATTTACATGCTATTGCGCACTGCTGTACACTCGCTGGAGCAGATTGAAGCTGTATTGGAGTGAGCGAGGAGTTCCGAGTTGTCCTCCCCTTCCATTTCTCGGGAATATACATTTACTTCAAAGATATAACGCTGTGAGTACCATATCTGAGATATGTTTATAAATGTTTTTTCCTTACAATATAAAATCAAGTGGGAGTTTGATCAAGTGAGTTAATTGTAAAGAGAATTTCAGACAATATTGTTGAAGCGCGCACATAGTCTTTACAAGTCGCAGTACGTGGGTATTTGGCTGTTCAGCAAACCCGCGTTGATCATTAACTGCCCGCAGACCGCGCACAGAATTCTGGTCAAAGATGCTGTTAATTTCAAGCAGAGGTTCGTGAGGTCGCCCGCCAACGATTCTGTTGGAAGCAAAAACATATTTACTTTACAGGTAAAATATTTTAATGCTTCCTAGATTTTGCCGCGACTTCATCTATGTGGATTTTAAAAAAATAACTAAGTATCTTATGTGTTCCAGACTATGTTCTATATCTGTGCCATTCATCGAGATCCGTTCAGCCATTTTGGAGAGTCGTAATAAATATCCATCTATCCAAACTTTCGTATTAATAAAAACTATGTCGAATTGCTAATTGGTTTGAACTCAATTGAAATCACCTTTATTTTCTGTGATTAATTTCTTTAAATAATTTGCAGGAACCATACTGGTCAATGTTGCGAAGAAAATTAAGTGCTCTTTTTACTTCGACTAAAATAAAGAATTTGTACGGACTGATAAAATGCAAAACAAAGGATCTTATAATAAGAATTAATAACGATATGTTTGCGAAAAATGAAGTTAATCTAAAGGTATATGGTTATTTATAACGTAACAGTTTATTGTGATTTTTTATTGATATTTATTGTTTTTTCAGCAATTATTCAGTGACTACACAACTGATATAATTGGTGAAGTAACTCTGGGCGCTAAGGGTGAGGCCACACTCACAGGAGACAGCGTTTTACGAAAGTTTACTTTAATTCTCTTGAAATTTGACTTACTCAGAAAACTTACTTGGATAGTTTTATTCTTTGATGCTAACATTATAGATAATTATTTATGGTAAGTAACATTAATAAAAAAATTGTTGTAGTTTGAAAACACACTATTAATTTTTATTTCGTAGGTTTTTAAAGGCTAAAGCATTCCCAAATTCAACAATAGCTCTCTTTAGAAAGATATATCGATCAGTTTTAAATAGTAAAGGAGGATATGAGGCTAAAATAACGGACCCTCACAGTCTACTGGATACGTTGAGGAAGTTAAAACAAGACCAAGTACTAAAGAACATGGGTAATTACTTATTAGAACCATTCCCATCAACCAACATTTACCACTGCTCCTATTTGACGTTCCTTGATTAGTTTATTACGACTTTGCTCAAAACATGAGTGTCGTGCCGGATTCCCACTTTAGTCCCGTTTTCCTTCTCGTCGTCCACTTTTTTTTTAAGAAAAGGATGGTAAGAGAATGTGGATCTAATGCTGGAGGAAACGCATAGGAAGGGGATAATCCTCTTTATGTGCGTCTACTCCCCCGTCGATCAAGGGTAGGCAACGCATCCGCTATTGCGAATATCTATGGGCAGCGGTCGCTTCGCCATTTTGGCGGATCCAGGTGACCGCTTACTCGTTAGCCACCGTGTCATATAAAATAAAAGTCTACTTGGTAACTCTCAATTCTCTTCTAAAGTATTCTCGTAGAGAAACTTTAAAAGAATAAATTTTTCAGAGATCTCGGAAGACATGATAATCGCTCAGCTGATAATATTCCTGCAAGCCGGCTTCGACACCACCGCCAACGCTCTCACATTCTGCATGTACGAGCTCGCCTTTGATCAGAGGGTTCAGGTGATTGTACACAAATAATACAAGACTGGTTCAAAAGAACAATTTTTTAAAAGGCATCTTCTTAATTTAAAAAACCAGACAGCGTCACAATAAAACACGAAACGATTTTTTGCGCGGAATGTGATAAATGCTATCTTTCGCCCGCAACTCCGTTTGCGTGGAATTAAAAAAACACAAAATTGAATAGCCTATGTGTTCTTCCAGACTATCCTCTACATTCATACCAAATTGTATGTAAATCCGTTCAGCTGTTTAGACTACAAACTCTAATAAACATCCATCCATCCGTCCGTCTAAACTTTCACGCTTATAATATTAGTGTGATCAAGAAGGGATTTGTCATATGACGGCAGATGGATTGATCAGGTGGACAAAAGCTGGTGCGCCGTAACTAGAGTGCGATAAGGACAAGTGATGATGAGTTTTGTAATTACGTCTTCTGTTCATAGGACAAACTGTTTAAAGAGGTATCATTAGCGAGACCATCGACGGGAGACGACTATCTTTATACAAATGACTTTGAACTAAATTATTTGGACAGCGTGATAAATGGTACGTTTAGAAGTGTAATTATTATCTTCTAACCAGTACGTAGGTAGTTATATTTTTAACTCAATGCATTATAGTCAACTAACTGGTGTTTAAATTTTCAGAAACTTTACGGAAGTATTCTCAGCTGGGCTGGATAGATCGAATGGCGGCACGAAGCTACCGAATTGATGATAATCTTACAATTCCTGCAGGAACCCCAGTGCTCGTTAATTCTATAGGGATGCGATACGACCCTCAAGTCTATCCTGAACCAGATAAGTTCATCCCGGAACGATTCCTGACGGATGACGGTCAAGTTAAAAAGTCGATTGGGTTCCTACCTTTCGGAGCAGGACCACGGAACTGTATTGGTATATCAGATTTATTAAATAAGTTTTAGCAAGCTAGATTTATAGTTTAATATTAATTTCTTAATACATTAACATTGATAAACTCATCAGGTCAGCGCTTCGCGTTGTTGAATTTACGTCATGCCATCGCGTCTGTCATCCTGAAGTACAGACTGCAACCCCTGCCCGACGCAGACCCGCCCTCCGAGAGACTCATCGCCCGGCAAGGGCTGTTCTTCACACCTGAAAAACAATTATACGTTCAGTTCTTACCTAGGTGAAAACTAAAATGTTCTTGTGAATAACGAAATGTTTTTAAAATTAATCTTGTGTTAAATGTAAGTTTTTTTAATTACTTTATATCAATATTATAAAGAGGGGTCATTTGTATTTTTTATTTTTTTATGTATTGAAATACCTCAAAAACGCCAATCAAACTTATATAATGCAGGCCACACACGTCAGTCTTGTGATGATTGTTTTTCTTCATTCTCATAAACAAAATATATTACGTATGTATTCAAAATTAAAAGCGTCTTATTAAACTTAACGTGTGTTGCGTGCATAAAGCCCTTACAGTATAATTCAACTGCCTAAGATTATATCCGCTCTTTGAAGACGGCTCTTAGAGAAGGTGCTTTGGTTGTCCGGGCTAATTATATTACTCTCCCTCTATTCTGTAAAAGCACTTTATTATATTATGACACGAAAAAGGGTTTAATTAGTCAAGGTTCTTGGCGTCCGAATGCCCCTTAAATATTTTTTTAATGTTTACTTTGTTTTTAACATCCTGTATCGTGTATCAACTTCTTCCCTACCTCTTTGTCTCTGCTAACAAAGTAAGGCAACAAATTAACCGACTTAGGAACAACGCTAATGTACAATTCTTGTACTCGCTGATGTCCTTTAGTTAAAGCATAATCAGATATAATTCACCCTTAAAATAAACTAAATTAGAATTACAATTCCAAAGAAATTATACTTATTAATACAATAGATAAATAAGTATTATTAAATTGCTTTTTTATAAATATTCATTTGAAATAATATACTGTAAATGTTATTATTGATCAACCTTTTAAGATAATTTTTAGCTTAGCTGTAGTGGCAACACTGTCGAGCCACCGTAAAGTCCACAGACGTACTAAATAAAATTGGTTAAGGTTTTAGAACACCGTTTTTTATTAAAACAAATAATGTAACTGATGTCTTTCTAAAAAAAAACTTTTACCTTTACTGAACATTTACAAAACGTCTAATCCAGCAGACATAACATCATTTTTATTTTCTCGCGGCGCCGACTTTTCAGGCGGAAGAAAATTGTTGAGTAAAATTACAGGAAACTCGAATGTTATTTTTCCTTGAAGATTTCCTCTCCATCCGAGACTTCCCGCGTTTCTTGACTTTGTATAATTTATTTAAATAGATTTAATATTGTTTACTTATTTACAAATGTTATGTACAATTAAGAAATAAAAATGCAGTGTATTCTAAGAAATTTATTAACAATTATTTCTTGGTCTAATTTTCAAAAAAATACTTTTATATTTCGAGTACTTTAATCAGTTGGATATCGGGTATATTGTCTGAGAATTAAACAGCTTTGTAATGAAAACTTAGCTTCAATATGTTGGAGACAAACAGTGGGATGACACTAGAGTGTAGAGGTGACATGACACACGCATTAGCACAGACTAGTTGGCAGAGAGCGCACAGAGTGCCACAGACTTCCAGCTACTGTTCAATATAGAGAGCAGTTAAATGATGCAAATGAGATCTCAACTTTAGAGTAATGAGAAAATCGAACATATAAGAGTGAAAATCTGTATTAATGATTGTATTATTTAATGCAGGGCAATATATTTGCGTATAATACAAATAACAATATAAGTAAAGTCGATTATACGATGGGCAATGACGCATGTAATTCGTCGCGATTGTGGCCACCTCAAGGCAGACTTTAAATAGCTCGCCGGCACAAATCCTTCGGGATAAATCCTTATTCATCTCGTTGAATATCTAAATGAGGGTGATTAATTACGCGGTCAGCCGCTGACCCAGTTTGCCGATGACGCAGCGCTTCGCCGCTTTTTCTTAACGCAAACTAAACTTTGTTACGTCACGTAAATAAAATTTATTCCCATTCAGGAAAATCCATCCTTAATTTATTTTAAGATTGTAATAGGTAGATATTCTTTGTAGTTTACTAGAGCCGTATTAAACATATTGGGCGCCAGGTTGCGACATCAGTCTTTTGTAACTAAAATTAGAACGTTCACTGGCCGGCGACCCAAACAGTCTCACGCCCGTACACCTAAAACCGGACGCCCAGGCGCCTTAACTTTACCTACGACGGCCATGTAGTGTACTGGCTAAAGATGATTGTTTAATTATCTGATGATTAGTGAATTAAATTGAAGGTATTGTGGTAACCAAGTGTTTGTAAACATACAAAAGCACAAGCAAGAAGAAGGTATTTATAAAATTTCACCTTGAACATAAAGGAACCTAAACTTGACAACTTACCTATGACAACTACCGCACAATTGTTTAGTCTCGCTTTGATTCCTCTGAGCTTATATGGAGGTGCGCACACTACTCGATTTTTGTGCAACTAGACAGTTGAATTGGCTGCGAAACAATCGACAATCGACAGTGACATCGACAGAGTAATATTTGTTAAAAAGCAAAGTCACAAGCAAACAATATTAAGTTACATAAATGACGTATTATGACGTCCGACTTTACATAGTAAAGTTGTGAAGTGGGTCATAGTCGTAGTGTAGCTCTGAGGCCAAAGTCGAGCATACTTCGCGCCGTTCCCGCCAACTATGCGGACATGTTAACCCGACGGCTAAAATATCGCGCAAATTTAAGCCAACTGCAAAATTACCTCCATTATTTTACTTCCTGGAACAGTTTTAGTGGTAATTAACGACATAATAGTTTATGGTTACAGTTCGAAAACATGAAAATTGATTTTTAAAAAGCAATAAAATCCATTTAAAATATATCAAATATCTTACAAACGGCTCTGTATACAGAAGAAAATATTTCCTATAGTAAAACATTTTATGAGTTACATTTGCATCAACTTACAAAACGGTACAAGCTATTATTGAGGTATTATTTTTATTACAACAATGGCTGGCAATAAATAAACCATAACGCGACATAAAAGAGTCGCATTCACAATAAATATTCGACGAGCAGCTATAAAAACAACGATATCATTACGTCACACTTAATACTTTATACGCCTGATCGTTATTTATTGTCACAATAAACAACGCATAAATGATAACCAAAATATCATATAGATTTGTAATCTATTCAATTATGTCACTAAAGTCAATTTTAGAATATCGCTGTCTTGCGACCTCGTCAAGGCAGTATAAAAAAAGCACTCACATTTTCAAAGTACCGTCAAAATAGGCCCAGTCGTTTTGCAGACAGACATACATACAGACATACAGACTTCTCGTAATCATCAACGCAAATATAGTATGTTTACATAATTACTAACTACTACTAGATATATTAGACACACTAAATCAGTCTCATTTGTATATGAAAAGTAACATTTTCTCGTAAAAGATGAAGCCATCCGCTAGTTTCTAACAATAATAAACCACGAACCTTTTGCGTACCTTAAATATACTTGACAAATATTGACAAGTCCGCTTCTGAGAATTGACAGTGAATAGTTCATTGGTATGAATAGCTACGACTCATCAATACATAAATACGTGACTAATAAATCTATTTCAGGCGACTAAATTCAATTACAACCCTGATAGTTCGGAGAAATTCGTCGAAAGCAATTTACACAGAAAGGGTACGTGTCAGGTACGTGCGGTTTAGTCTCGTTTATTAAATTTGTAACATCTAGAAATTTAATATTCACAATTATATGTTTTTATATCATAAGGTGTCAAACGAGTAAGTGAACCTGAATATATCGAATAGAGAAGCGTCCACTGGCCATAGACATTTGCAAAAACGGTCATTGTCTACGTTCCATCCAAGTAGGGGATAACGCACAGAAAGATAATGTTTCCTAAGCATCACCTCCATCAAGTCTACTTTCCTTTCCATCAGGAAGGACCCTTGGCAAGGGAAAGGACTATGAAATTAGGTCCGCGTCCGCGAATGAATGTGTATTCATCGGACCAAAGTCAGTAATGTTTCTACTACAAGCCTCTCTTCTGGTATAGTTGTTGGTGCTGACCGTATGGTGGTTAATATGTAAGGCTTCTTGGACATTTTCATACCTTTACCAGGTACGGTTTAGGGGTTCTTTAAGAAGAGAACGTACAACATTCTAAAAGACCAGCAACGCGTTTGCGTCCTCGAACACTACGGATATTACACAAACATCTGTAATTCTAATTGTACTATTGCTCTTTTTCTTTTTAATATAAAAAACCACATGATCTTGGTAAGGAAAAAAAGTGATTTATTTAACACAGCAGTCGTTTTTTCTTTGAGCACAATTGCTTAGAATTCGGGTAACGTTCGTCGGTTTTATTTTATTCTTTGAAGATAGAGCTGAAATAAAAGTGGGACGGAATGTTTTTATCCGGTGCCCGTAATGAAACTGGTGCTGATTTAGTGCTGTGATATCTTCTCATCGCTTTTCTCGCAATCTACTGATCTTTATCTCGTATTTCACAGTTTGCACTAACCGTCAAATTCCGGAGTTAAAAGTTAAACATATTTTCATTTTATTGATACCAGTGAGCGAAACAATTGTTTTGATTTTTTATAAAACGGATTGATTTAGTTCTAGTATTTTCATCTTCCTTCAAATTATCTTCGTTGCAAGTCTTTTTTTGGTTAACTAAAAATTGCTAATAGATGGCACTGGCAACAATTGCAAATATATTTTCATTAATTTACAAGTAACATGCTTTAAATTCATTGTAAAATTACCATATATTACATAAACAGCACCATACAAATATCACAATAAGGTAACAAGTTACATTCAAAAAGATTTGAATTTTATCAAAATATCGTTTGTTTTGTAACAGTTTTGCGCGCCATAACATTCGTGTCCCGGGCAGTTGCGGTTGCGGGCGAAGCAGGCGCGGCGGGGTCAAGAAGGAGGCGAGGGCGGCGAGGTATGGGCGCATCACGCGTGCGTGACGTCATCCCCGCGTTCGCGCCGTTTTGTGAATAGTAATTTAAAATCGATTATTTCTTAATTATTATTATTTCAAAAGTGAGTGACTTTAGACTTTAGACGAAAGTAGTAACAAGTACATTTTTATTTTTA